CAGTTCTACTCTGTCCTCTATCTAGGGTCACTATGAATCCAAGCAAACTCCATGGCAGTGGGTTTTGTTTTATCACACGGAACTAACTTCCCACCAGATGCCCGACCCCTATAACATGCCTTCCATCCCCATTCCTCCCAAAACTGCCCTCTCCAGTTATGAAGGGTCTTCCAGCCTCAAAATCCAATGGTCCTCTCTCATTTTCATTTCCCTTGGTCTGTCTACATCGTCCGACACGGTGGCTGGCCCCTTTCTTCTAGCGTTTCCTTGTGTTGAAGTACTCTGACCTACACTATTTGTGATTCCCTTTCTACCACTCACAATGCTCATTTTATAGCCTCACATACTCCTTCGGCCCTTAAAATATGTTCCTTAGCTTCCATCCCAATGGAGTTAGAGTCTGTTCTCGTGGCTTACATAATATTTCCATTGAGAGAATATAAATATAAATATTGAATTTCAATGCCACAGATCAAATTACCTCCTCTAAATATTCATCTGAGTACCATTGTATCTGATGTTGTTGCTCATTAATGCGAGGCTGCTCTGGCAAAGTCTAAAAAGGAAATTTAACTTCCCAGTGTAAAAAAAAAAAAATCTTAAAACAAGTAAGTACCCATAATAGTCTCTTCCGTGATTCTTATTCCATCTCTGCCCCAGGCTGTGTCAAAGTGCCCTCTTTCAGATGGCATTGTGCCCGCTTCTGTAGGTTTAAAACATGTGACAGCTTTTCCCCAAACCAGTTCACCTGCAGCTTCCCTATTTCTGTCTGTGATACTCATCACTCATTCACCAGGTTTGAAATGTTGCTCTTACCCTTAATTAGCTTTTACTTCCTTCTCTCACAGCGAGTTAGTCACCATCCATGACAACTAATCACGGTATTCCCCTTTCATTCCTCCAGCATCTTAACAAGTTGTCCATCACATTCATAAGCCATCCTAACCCACTGCTGCCCAGTCAAGCCCAGCTCAAAGCCACCCTGTAGAACAGAGTAGAACTGCCCATAGGGTTTCCAAAACTGTCATCTATGCGGAAGAAGAATGATACATTGTTCTCCCTCAGCCGGTGAGGCTGAACTCACAACCTTTGGGTTAGTTGTTGAGTGCTTGCCTATTGAAGGCCCAGGACTCCTTCCAGAGGGCTTCAAAACGTAAAATGCTCATGGAAATGTCCATTATTTAAATTTTATTTTTCCATGAACTTTTGAAGCTCCTCGTAAATCCCCCCCTTTTTTCCCTTATCAATTCCAGTACTATCCAATTAATGTTGGCCACCTCCAACAACAAAAAATATGTTGGCATTGATTCAACTTAAAAAAAAAAAGAATGGCCAGTCTTCCAAACTTTTAAATTCCTTAAAAGTAGGGGGGAAAGTTAGCCCTTCATTCCTGTGTCTACCAGAGATAATAGCTGATCCATAACTTCTTACGATTATACAACTAATTTTCCCTTAACACAAAATGTTTCACTTTATATATCTAATTCCAAAATCACATTTATATAGAGTGTAGCATCTATATATATAAATATATATAATATTAAATAAATATAATAAACATTATATTTAGGTAGCCCCTAAATAATGCTTCATGTAATTAATGTGTGTGTGTAACAAAAAGAGATGCAACCATTTTGTTTGGAGGAAGCATCAAATTTAGAATTTGATCTTGCTGCTCTGTTAACTGAGCCCTGGGGGCCTGTAGCTACTCATTGAGCTGCTGATCTCGGTCAGTAGCTCGAAACCAGGCTTTCTACTCCCATAAAGAGTTACGATCTTGGAAAAGTACCAGGGCAGTTCTCTCCTGTCTATAGGGTCGCTATAAGCGACTCCATGGCCATGAGTTTGTTTAGTTTTGGTTTGGCTCCTATTAACTAGTCAGAATGCAAGTTTCCTAACTGTTAGCGTCCTCATTTGTTCTATCTAAAGGCGTTTACTGTAAGATTTTAAAAAGGTAATGTATGAAAGTCTTTGACTATTTCCAAATCTGCTCACATAGATTGTTACAATGTTACCAGAATCAACATCCTACTGTTTTAGGATATTGATCCTTTCTTTGGGCTCCGCAACCTCACCAGATGATGCAAAGATATGCTGTGCACGGTTCCTTAGTGAAAGTTCTCCTGTCTAGATTTTCTTCAGGGAAAGCCTCGCCTTACTGCCTACCTACCACCTGTGGATGAATAGCAGATTAGAGATTCCGATGGCTGACCTGGAGGGCATAATATTTTCCCAAGGGTCAAGTAGTTTGTTAAGTGGGCAGCCACTTGAAATGAACACATTACTATGCCTTCTTTGCCTTGCACCTTCTTATTCAGAATGGATATGCGCTTGCCTTCCCTAGCATCAAATACTCCCCCTTTCAGCACAGTCATGCTGGCCTGTAATACATTTGCTTTCAGTGTGTCTGCCCAGTACGTTTGTGGGTGTCATAAAACAAAACAAAACAGGGCTTATTTTTTTAATGATTTGTGTGTTCAAAAAAAATCTTTTACCACTTATTTATTTTTATATCCCTGGCACCCAGGGGTCCCTATAGAATCGAAAATTGCCTTGACAGTACCGAACAGCAGCAATGCGTCCTGAATAAGTGAGTGGAGATGGACAAGGTCCAGCTGCGGAGTGATGGCGCCTAGGCTTCTTTTTATTCCGCTCTTTCCCTCCCCCTGTGCAAAGCAGAAAAATGGCCAGTCAGGCATCTGCAGAGATCCCTTGGCCTTTCTGTCATCCACGCATGGGGCCCCAAGGGTTGCTTACTGTTCTGTCTTCAAAAGATCTTTGCTTAAAGAGGCTCATATTTTCTGAGTCCTGATGGCACAAGGAGCTCTGATGGCACAGGGGTTATGTGCTGGGCTGCTACTCACCAGGTCGGCAGTTAGAAACCACCAGCTGCTCCTCAGGAGAAAGATGAGACTTTCTACCCACACAGAGGCCAGTACGGACTGGAAGACAGTGAATGTGGTTTTTGCCCTTTTGGTTTGGTTCTTAACAAATTCTCTAAAAAGAAAAATCATCCAGTGAACTCATTCCAATTTTATTGTTAACGAGAAGCCACTCTTTATTGCGCCATCTCATTGTGGGATGTTGGCATTAAATAAAGATGAGGAATTCCTTGAAGATGAATAGGCTTGTTCCAAAAGAAGGAATTCCTAATGGAGAATAATGTCGATCCGTGTGGCTGGCGGTGGGTTGCCGCTGGGAGAGGAAGGAGGCTTTAGGGCAACCAGGCCTTTCCTCGGCCTGGAACCTACTTAGAGGACCAGTCCTAGTCAAAGAGGAAAACCTCTTGGTTACACCCCACTCTGTGCTCGCGATCCTCTCCTCTGCTCCCTTCCCGCCTCACAGAAGTGTTGGGGGGAAAGGGAACACGTCTCTGGCCAACGAAATGATGGCCTAGTGGAGTCTGTCAGCATTAATGTCATTGATGGGGCAGGCTGGGGCCAGGGATGGGCAGAGACGGTGGAGAGAACGCGTGGCCATGCTCATAAGACTCTCCATCTTCAGGTTGCTGGGCACATCCTCAGTCTATTAGACCAGAACCTGAGCCGCCCCAAGGCAAGTTGGCATAAGAAGGGGTCAATTCTCTGCAGCTTTCCTTTTGTCACCTTGATGATCTCAGGGTTGTCACCTGGCTGTGTGGTTTTTCATTCACGGAGGAGCTCAGGTGGAGTGGGGCACAGATGAGGCTGCTCAACATAAGGGCAGCAGTTTGAAACCATCAGTTGCCCTGGGGGAGAAAGATGAGGCTTTCTGCTCCCCTGAAGATTTATAATCTTGGCAACCTGCAGGTGCAGTTCTGCTCTGCCCTGGGGGGTCCTCCTGAGTCAGATTCGACTTGATGGCCGTGAGCTCGGTTCATTCAGCTAGTCGCACACCCATATATGGTGGGAGCAGCGCCCATGCCCCGTCAGCTTGATCCCCTCGGTTGAGTTTCACATCTCTTCCTCTTCCTGAAAATTGATCAGCAAAATGTTCTTTGAAAGCCGTTTGCCTAATCGAAGAAGGGTTTGCATACATTCTTCAGCAAGGCTTTTGCTCTTTTTTCATATCCGGATGATGGGGATATTCTAAATTTTTCCATTTTAGGGTCCCCTTGAAGCGCCATGACTTTATTCTTTTGAATTCTAGTTTCTGAGTGGCATGACGGAGGTGAGGCCGATCATAAAGTTTGCCCTCCATCCAGACTTTTGAATCACAGGATGCTGGCAAACAATCAGGTTGAACCAAATGGCCTGATCCGAAAGTCATCCTCAGAGTTCCTTCCGGGCACAGTGATTAGCCCTTCGGTTTTCTTCTCATCTTGGCTGGTACTGCCCCTTGGTCCAAGGACCTTTGGGCACGTGCTGGTTACTAGTGGGCTGCAAACCATAAGGCCTGCGGTTGGAAACCACCTCTCTCTACAGGAGCCGAAGAGGGTTTCCACTCCCCCCAAAAGCCTTGGAAACCCACAGGAGCAGTTCTGCTCTGTCCTATAGGGTCACTCGGTGAGTCGGCATCAGCTCAATGGCAGTGAGTTGGTTCGGTTTGGTTTGGGGTTGGTGTCTTGGTCGTGATGCCTTTGGCATTGACCAGGGTCTCCGGGGCCACCCGTCCCTTTCCATTGCTGAAGCCCCTTCTCAGCAGCGGGGCATTTGTGTCCCTGGCGTTGCCACCAGCGGGCTACCCCGGAAACCAGAATGCCCCCCTGAAAACGAGACGCGCCACTTGGCGGGGTCCTCTGCATTTCCAGTGCGCGGCACAGCGCGGGTCGCGGTGGGACGGGTGCAGCGCCTAGGGGCGCACCCGGAGAGATGACAGCGTTTTCTTGTCTGTGAATGCCCTCGGGGTGGGAAAGACTCTTCCAACCCCAAACGAGATGCCAGGGCGTGTCGTCGCAGCCCTGCTCACCACGTGTAGGAACTGAGCGCCCAGTGAGAACCTGTAGCTTGAGGAAGGCGCCCCGCTGCGGCCTGGTGGCGCCCCGGGCTGAGCTGGGTCCCTGTCGCCTCTCCGCCCCGCAGCGATCGACCTGCTGTACTGGCGCGACATCAAGCAGACGGGGATCGTGTTCGGGAGCTTCCTGCTGCTGCTCTTCTCGCTGACCCAGTTCAGCGTCGTCAGCGTCGTGGCCTACCTGGCCCTCGCCGCGCTCTCCGCCACCATCAGTTTCCGCATCTACAAGTCGGTCCTACAAGCCGTGCAGAAGACCGACGAGGGCCACCCTTTCAAGTGAGTGGCCCGCTTCCCCAGCCCTGCACCCTCGGGTGAATTTCCGGTGGGGGGAGGTTGGGGGAAGGAGTCCCCAGTATCCCTATTCTAATGCCGATTGCTTGTCTGGATGTTAATGTTTCAAATACCGCTACAACGAATGGAATTCATCCTCCATTCTAGATGGTCAACGTTTTATCATTGAAACTTTGGTTCGCCACCTTCCTAATGCGGTGACCCTTTCATACAGTTCCTCATGTTGTGGGGACCCCCCAACCATAAAATTATTTCCGTTGCTACTTCATCACTGCAATTTTGCTACTGTGATGAATTGGGCGACCCCTGTGAAAGGATCGCTCGACAATCCCCCACCCCCAAGGGGTTTTGACCCACGGGTTGAGAACCGCTGAATTTTAAAGTGTTTCATCCTCAACTCTGAAGAAGGAAGAGCAGGTGTGAGAACACCTTTTCACAGGTGGGGAAAGCATGGCTTCCGATAACTGAAGCCACTTGCCACGTTCACGTGGTCAGGGAAGATCACAGAGCCAGGACATGGGGTGTTTTGATTGATATGCCCTCTCTGGGTCCTAGAGGGCCGCACCTCAAGAGTGCAAGGTTTGGGGACAGCCTCCTAGTGTGCCCTCCTCAGCATTTTCACAGTGAAGAAATGTGATGGTGAACAAAGAGGAGGCGGAAAGATCTAAGAAGGCAATGGACTAGGAGAATTCATAAAATGTGGGCGAGGGTACTGATGGCATTGCTGCCTTAACTCCATGTAACCCGGGGTACTTGGGGCACTCTCTGCCAGTGTCACCCCTTGTCTTGTGTTGGCCTCACAGTTTAGGCTCAAATGCTGGTGTGTGTCCTCACTGCCTCTAGCCAAGGGAGAGTTCTGAGCCCCCTAAAACAGACGGAAGTGATGCTGTAGAATCACTTTGGGCCAGCTTCAGTCCCTCACTCACAATCCCTCAGAGTCCTACCTGTCCCCCTCTTCACCTCACGAGTCAGCTGGATCAAGTCTTAGCAACGTCAGACTCCTGCAAAGGGAAAAAGACACCTATTTATGGGAACAAGGGCTGTGGACCAGACTTCCTCCCAAGTTTCTGGTTCCTGGACTGAAGGTAGAAGACAATCATAGTCTGGGCATCCTTGACCTTGGGATGGATTTAACCTTCTAATTTACTGTTTAATGGACCTTCTGGGCTACAGCTTGGCTACACAAGTTCCCGTCTCCACACATGAGAAGAGCTGCAGGAGTGGAATATCATCTCTCCCAGAGGCCAGAGTCTGCCCTCTGCTACTTACATCTCTGCTTTTAGTCATTTAAGCAAGACCTGTTTCTCACATGTTCTTGGTCCCCGAGCCCATTATGTTAAATGGGAGAGCTTATTTCTCATGGGGCTCATATCTCCAAGTATCCAGGTACAGGAACAAGGCTCTAACAATTAGTCTGCAGTTAGTTCAAATGTCTTATCTTCCTTATAGAGAAAAATTTGAAATTTAAAACTTTCCTTTGACGCAGTCATTTTGATCAGATTGAAAGGAATATCTGACTCGGAGTACATTTTGAATCAAAACATGCCATCTACATAGATCAGCCTTTTTCTATTCTATTAAAGGGGAGGGAACCCAAATCAATTAAACACGAACTCCCTAAACATAGACCAGACTCTGCATGACCTATTTCACCCCAGTTTACAGAGTGAGGTAAGCACTGGGAGGACGGTAAGGATGTCTTCGAGGTAGACATCACCGTGTGTAAAAGAGTAGAGAGAGGGTCCTGAAAGAAGGGGGGAAGGAAAGATAAAGAGGAGAATGGACATATGTGGGTGAACATGGGACGGGATGATGCTGAGCTAGACTGACTTGAAGATATTTAGAGAGCCTGGTTTATTCACTCAAAGGTTAAAAGTAATCCTTTGGACAAAAGTTTAAAGACATGTAATTACTAAATAGAACCAATGAGAGCACTTTAACATGTTCCAGATAATTGGAGTTTTCTGTGCTCTTTAAATGGAAACTATAAGTAAATTCCAGAATCTGAGCATGACTCTTCAAGGTTTAATGAGCAACAAGAACTGGCAGTGAGGGTTTTCAGATATTTCACTTATTTAAAAGATTCCTCTGCAGGCAACCCAGAAAAGTGGCACCTTTTCCATTCTTAGGGGACCAGGGAAGTATGCAGAATTCAGCAAATTGGCTAAATGAGCTGCCTTTTCTATGGCCCTAGCGGGTTTCACACTGTGAAATGATCACTCCCACTGGATTTGTCAGCTCACCGCAGAGCTGGTTTTGGTACAGTCACAATGCCCCAGTAAGAGCCATGATCCTGTGTTCCCAATGAAAGGCGGTGGGGCGGAGCCCTTTGTCCCACGTGGCTGTATACATGCCTCCAGCCTCCAAGTGAGAGAAGAGAAGGACAGCGTAGGGGGTTATGGCACCTGGCGCAGCCGGCTGCTCTGTGACTCCTCCTCGGGTCCTCTGGGCGCGGGTGTGTTGACAGGACCTACCTGGAGCTAGAGATCACCCTTTCTCAGGAGCAGATTCAGAAGTACACGGACTGCCTGCAGTTCTACGTGAACAACATGCTGAAAGAGCTCAGGAGGCTCTTCCTCGTCCAGGACCTGGTGGATTCCTTAAAAGTAGGATTGCTTACCCCATTCATTCACTTGACAGCCTTGATTTTATGTTTCCCAGCAGTGGCGTATCTGATTAGCCACCTAGGAATGAAGAGAAGAAAGTAAGTGCTAATCAGGTTCCAGCGTTAGAAACCCTTCAGCTTTGTGGCATGCTGGGGATCATTTAATTCCTTCCTTTTACAGACAACCGAGCTCCATGACTCAAGAGAGTTTAAGACACGTGTCCCAGGTTGCCCAGTGAGCTACTGAAAGAGCTACCTTATTTCCCCCAAAATAAGCCAGTGTCTTATATTAATTTTTGCTCCCAAAGACATGCTAGGTCTTATTTTCAGGGGATGTCTTATTATTTTATGAAGAAGAATATAGTACACATTTATTGTTTATTGTTTTATTAAAAGAGACCGCACACTTCTTGTGCTCTGGCTGCGCTGCGGCCAACAGTGAGCTGCACGGTGGCGCCTACCACTACAATCCAGAGTCCAGAGTTACGGTAGCTTTGGGGGGCCTTATTTTCAGGAAGGTCTTATTTTGGGGGAGATACCTTATATTTCAGCGAGAGGCAAAACTAAGTAGGTCTTATTTTCGGGGGATGCCTTACTTTCGGGGAAACAGGGTAGGATCAAACATGGCTCACAGAGCCTCTCTAGTGCTGCATTTTTATACCACACCAGGTTGTCTCTTCTTACCATTTTTAATTCCTTGGGAGGATCTGATACCAAGGGCTCAAGTAGAAAGAACATGTTTTGAAAATGATGATGTCAACAAATGTACAAATGTACTTGACACAGTGGATGGATGGGTGGATTGTGATAAGAGCTGTACAAGCCTCCAATAAAATGATTTTAAAAATTGAAAAAAATTTCCTTCAGCAATTAAAACAATTAATTTTAAAATTAAAATATAGTTTGGGGGATACAAAACAAAAATGTGGAAGGATCTTGTTGGTTTGTTTCCCTGAAAGAATCTCTGAGTTCTGCTAAAATACAAGAACTCCAAGCGTCCCCAAACTGCTTCCACGCAGAGGGTGAACGATCTGCAGGGCTAAGGAGTCACAGCTCTAGTACTCAGCAGCTCCGGGGCACTGATATTTTATTCCTAGTGCTTGTGTGACTTCAGAGGGCTTCTCTGGGTAAGCTCTCATCTCCTTCTGACTGACATGTCAAAGGAAAGTCAGTCGATCATGATTCGGCAGGGCCAGGAACAGGGTAGGGAAAGCAGCCCCCACAAGGTTGTTGGGAGTTTTCGGTGCCCTCCGAGCACTTTGTGCACACCGGGGCAGGACTCTCGGACACAGGAGCTGCCTGTTAAGAGAACCAAAAATGCCACTGCCATTGAGTCGATCCCGACTCACAGTAACCCTATGAAGGGTTTCCAAGGCTTGTAAATCTTGATGGAAGCCCTTAGCTTCGCCTTTCTCCCATAGAGCAACTCCCTGCTTTCCCGGCAGCATCAGGGCTCCCTGAAAGGCAGAGAGACAAGTAAAGAAGGTGGTCTTGTCCCGTAGGGCTTTATTGGAATATGCCAAGTAATATTAACAAGAGATACGAAGGAAATTATACTTACTTGCCCTAATACTTTTAAGGTAACATTTCTATTAGTGTTTGTAGTGTAAAAATCATGGACTAGATCCAGGGTTGATAAACCTTTTTTATAAAGGGCCAGATAAAAAATGTCTTCACGTTTGTGAACCATAGTCCTTGTCACAACTACTTAACTTTGCCATTCTAACCTGAAAGAGGAGCCAAAGGCAAGCAGTAAATGAAAGAAAGACCATGTTGGGTCCCAATAAAACTTTATCAGTACTGAACATTGAGTTTCATATTTTTGCCCATCTCAGCATATTCTTCTTGGTTTTCTTTTTTTTTTTTTTTTGCCACTCTAAAATGTAAAAACGATTTTTATTTTTATTTATTTATTTTGTTTGTTTGTTTGTTTTTAATCATTTTATTGGGGGCTTGTACAACTCATCACAATCCATACATACATCCATGTGTCAAGCACCTTTGTTGCCATCATTCTCAAAACATTTGCTTTCTGCTTGAACCCTTGGTATCAGCTCATTTTCCCCCCACACTAACAGGACAGGACCATTGTTTGCTGACCCCTAAACTAGGTTATTTCATTTGGTCTCTCAAATTACCTAACAGATTCACAGGTGCCAGGAAACCTGGGGGATGGAGCCTCTTTGGGATGATTCTCAATGAGCTTAAAATGCTTTATTGCCTTATTGGTGTGTTCTGCCTCCAAATTCAATCATAAGAGTCCATTAGAATTGACTTTTGAAGGCGCTGCAGTTTCAGGGCTCTGATAATGCTTTCCTTCTCTAGTTTGCAGTGCTGATGTGGCTCCTGACGTACGTGGGCGCTCTCTTCAATGGCCTGACCCTGCTGCTCATGGGTAAACGCCAACAGGAAGGAGCCTCTCCTGTCTTGTTTCACACACACCGTCAATACAATGCTTCCGAGGCTGGTAGCTTTCGGCTGGTTTGGTAGATCCCAGGCACAAATGCCACAGCTATCCCTGAGGATAGATCACTTCCCTTCTCATCACAGTTCCATTACAGAGAATAATACTAATGAATTTATTATTCTGAAACTTTTTTGCTTTTGTTCAACCATAGATGGTTCTAGTTGGCTTCTAATAGATACTCATTTATGATGACAGCTATAGATAGAGATTAATTTTCATTTTGGAGAGCGTGTTATTTAAGGACTGTGAAATAATATCCACACAAAGCTTAGTTTCATTTAATTTTCTTGTGAACTAGCCTGTGATTTTTCCCCCTAGAATGATGATAATTATAACTAATGCTAGAGTAGATGTTATATTACAACTACATAAAATATGCACATAAACTTGTTCTTATTGATACCTCTCCGAATTGTAATACTGTGTTTATTTTTCATCCTAGCTGTGGTTTCAATGTTTACTCTACCTGTAGTGTATGTTAAACACCAGGTAAGTGCCATGTGATGTCAAATGTTCATGTTAAATTTGGGCCCGGTGGCCTTTGGATGTGCTCATGATTTCTTTCTCTTTGCAGGCACAGATTGACCAATATCTGGGACTTGTGAGGAATCACATAAATGCGATTGTGGCAAAGTAAGTTATATAGTGTAATTCATAAACCCAAATCCAAACCCACTGCCATCAAGTCGATTCTGTCTCGTAGCAATCTTATCTCAGGTAACAGAGGCTTTTAAACGTCGTTGGAGCCGGCAGCCTCATTTTTCTCTCAAGGAGCAGTTGGTGGGTTTGAAGCACTAATCTTTAGGTTAATGGTCCAATGCTTACCTGATGGCACCAATTTAAACAGAAGGGATTATTTTAGGCAGGCATTTGGGTGGATTGGGTGTAGGGGTAATAAAACAGTAGCAAAATAATAGATTGACCTCACTTAAATTATGTAGTCATTCTCTTTCCAATTATACTATATCAGAAAATAAGTATAATTTTAAAACTTTCAATTAACAAAATATTCTGTGAATTATTTCCAGTATCATAGTGAATGGTTTTAGTAAAGATATTAATGTTTCCTTGGGGACTGGCTCATGTCCAAGAACAAGATTGGCTGGTAGGAAGAGGGAGGCTTGATTTGGAAAAATGAAATTTATCTGCAAGAATGTAACTGAAATTAAAACAATTAAGTTAACAAACACCAATTCTTTAAGCAATGCATAGTATACTATTTTTAAACCTTTAAAATGATGTTCTAAAAGCTTGAAATGTTTTAAGTATCTATAAAAGTTTTATTACCTAAATATTTTTAAGTTGCATCATTGTACCCCAACAAGTATCAGACAACGATATGGCCTACTATGCAAGGCATGACAAATTGAAGAGGGACAGCATCACATTTATTGTCAAAAAGAACACTTCAAGATCAATCTTGAAATACAACATTGTCAGTGATAGGCTGATACTTGATGAAATTAGAGATTTTTACCAACTTCTGCACGCTGAAATTGATCAGGCATGGAATCAAGTTGCATTGATAAATACTGGTATTACTGGTGACTGGAATGTGAATGTTAAAAACAAAAAAGAAGGATCATTGGAAAATATGCCTCAGTGATAGGAATTATGTGAGAGATTACATGATAGAATATTGCAAAGCCTATGACTTACCGTGGCAGTTCCACAATCTCCTGTCAACTTGCAAAAGGGTGGCGTCTAGCCTGTCAATCAGCCATAACCAATGAGACCTCTGTTGTGGGCATGGCCTTCTCCTGCGGATTCTGGGAATTCTTGTATTCCCCCCTGGAGGCAGTAGAGTCACTCTGCTTCATATTCCTGATGACAAGACACATGTGCTACGCTACAGCCCTCGAGCTGGAGACCCATGCCAGCACTGAGATCCACCATTGGATCCACAAGACTTTACACCCACTAGCCTGTGATCTTCCTGCATTCGGCATCATTGCATGGGTTGCATGAGTCTGAAGAGGACTTTATAGATTGGTATCGGACATATGGGCTAATATCGGACATATAGACTTGATCTAGATTGGGCTGGGATGTTTTCTCAATATACAATTGCTCTTTTATATAAAGCTCTTTCTTTTCTTCTTTCTTTTTCTGTTTAAAATCATTTTATTGGGGTCTCGTACAACTCTTATCACAATCCATACATACATACCTTGTGTCAAGCACATTTGTACATTTGTTGCCATCATTATTTTCAAAACACTTTCTTTCTACTTGAACCCTTGGTATCAACTCCTCATTTTCCCCCTTCCTCCCCACCCACCTTCCCTCATGATAATTTATAAATTATTATTATTTTGTCATGTCTTACACTATCCAGTGTCTCCCCCTACCCACTTTTCTGTTGTCCATCCCCCAGGGAGGGGGTTATATGTAGATCCTTGTGATCGGTTACCCCCTTTCACCCCACCTTTCCATTCCCCTCATGGTATCACTACTCTCATTATAGGTCCTGAGGGGTTCATCTGTCCTGGATTCCCTGTGTTTCCAATTCTTATCTGTACCAGTGTCTAGCCAGATTTGTAAGGTAGAATTGGGATCATGATAGTGCAAGAGGGAGGAAACATTAAAGAACTAGAGGAGAGTTGTATGTTTCATCATTGCTATTCTGCACCCTGACTGGCTTGTCTCCTCCCCGAGACCCTTCTGTAAGGGGATTTTTAGTTGCCTACAGATGGGATTTGGGTCTCCACTCTGCACTCCCCCTCATTCACAATGATAGGATTTTTTGTTCTTTGATGCATGATACCTGATCCTATCGACACCTCATGATCACACAGGCTGGTATCTTCAAGCCTTTAAGACCCCAGATACTATATCTTTTGATAGCTGGGCACCATCAGCTTTCTTCACCACATTTGCTTAGGCACCCGCTTTGTCTTCAGCGATCGTGTCGGGAAGGTGAGCATCATGGAATGCCAGTTTAATAGAACAAAGTGTTCTTGAATTGAGGGAGTACTTGAGTAGAGGCCCAATGTACATCTACTACCTTAATACTAACCCTATAAATATAGGCACCTAGATCTACTTCCCCAGCCTCATATATAAATATATTTACATATGTACATGCCTTTATTTAGACCTCTATAAATGCCCTTTGCCTCCTAGTCCTTTCCTCTATTTCCTTTTACTTTTCTCTTGTCCCACCATCATGCTCAGTCTTCATTCGGGTTTTAGTAATTCTTCTCAGTTACATTGCCCTTGATCAAGCCCTACCAGGCCTCCTACACCCTCCTCACCATGGATTTTGGATCACTTGTTGTTCCCATGAAACTCTTTCTTAATACAGTGTCTTTGAGTTTGTTTCTCTAGTCAACCGAGACTTACACATTGATTACTTGGAAATAACTTTTTTCCCCAACAACATAAATGGTGGCTGTGCAGGTCCATGAGAGCCAAAGTACAACCCTGGATATACCCCATTTGAATTTAGAGACTGTCTCAAGAATACATTCGGCTCATTGAACACTAATGACTGAGGACCAGACTCGTAGGATGACATCAAGGGTGTCATACACAAAGAAAGAAAAAGGTCTTGAAAGCACACATCCACATAACACACACACATGTCAGAACAGACTCCAAAACTTGCTCTTGAATGTAGAATCTCTGAAGCAGATGGAAGAACTGATGAAGTGAAAGAGCTGAACAGAAGATTTCAAACAGTGGTCCAATGTCGTGTTCAAAGACCTGGAGGGAGGAAACGGAAAGGGAAGGTCATCCTTAGCATTCTTCAAGCTGGAACAATTAAAGGAAAAAAACCACGTCTCCAATTTCAGTATTGAAGGACTCTGTCAACAAAATACTGAATGACAGAGGAAGCATCAAATGAAAATGGAAGGAATACACAGAGGCACCTTACCCAGAAGAACTAGTCAGTGTTTAACCCTGTCAGGAGTTTGCATATGAATAAGATGTCCACACTGCACTGCAGGCACTGTTGAAAACAAGGCTCCAGGAATTCACAGGGTGCCATCTGAGATGTTTTAACAAATGTATGCAGCAAACAACCCTGTTTAGGCCGATGTCCTAACATAATTAATAAGAATAGTGCCTTTGTTCTCATTGAGAAGCAGCTCAGTTTGTTTAATTGATGGTCATCCTAACTATGCCACAGGGAGCCCTGATAGCATAGTGAATTAGGTATTGGGCTGCTAGCCACAAGGTCAGCGGTTTAAAATCACCAGCTGCCCTTGGAAGCAAATTGAGACTTTGTAGCCCCAGGCAGAGTTACAGTCTTGGAAAGCCTCAGGGCAGCTCTCCTCTGTCCTATGGGGTCCCTGTAAATTGGAATTGCCTCCATGGTGGTGAGCTTGGTTTCTGTTTTTAATTAAAAAGTCGTCGCTTCTGTGACCCTGAAAGAAGTCATCAGGCTTCTCTAAAAAGTCTTCATCTGAAAAAACGGGACTTTCAGAAAGCAGTCATTCCTGCTATTCTGTATCATGCTTTATTCTTGCTACTGTATGGCAAAGGTGTACTGACACCCATACATAGAGACTGCAAGGCCTTCTGAAGTACTAAGCTGCTTGGTTCCACAGCAGATAATGAGCACTTAAAATGCTTGCTAAGATTGCCTTAATTACTATCTTTTGATATTCTGTCTTCTCAGGATTCAGGCTAAAATCCCGGGCGCAAAAAGGCACACCGAGTAAACGGATATCCCCTGGGCTCTGGACGCTAAGAGGAATGTCTGCAGCAGTGACAGCGCTGTTTCACTTGGTACTGCACATTAATTGTCCCTCTCCGCTCCCCCACCCCCCAGTACCATCATTTTAGAGACAAACTGTAAAACAGCTGTTTTTAGGCTGTTTCTGTGCCCTTAGGATATTTGAGTCATTTGTGTCAAGCACTAAAGTATAGAGACAAGTGTATTAGATGTGGTTTTTATTTTGTGTTGCTTAAAAAAAAAAGGTGCATGATGGTGAGAGCCCAAGACCCCCCCTCCTCCTTTGGTGTTCTTCTCCTTCTCTGCGATGCTTCTGTAGCTTCTAACGTTCCCTGTGCTAGGCTTTTCCTGAGTGCATTGATGCAATAGTGGAAATTGCTTCTATGTCTCTGGGTTGCTGGTTGGATTACTCTTTAATAACAATATATATAGACTTGTAGGCTGATGTTCTAGTGTTTTTCCAACACACACGGTGTAAAAGTAAAAACCATCGCCCGTACTCATGGTTATCAGTTTTGTATAACTTAAATAAAGAATGAAATCAATTAACAAACCACAAACAGACACACAGTACTTCTGTCGTATGGGAGCGACAGGCTGGCTGACATGTATGGTGACTGAAAGCGTGCCAGCACGTTAACTTTATTACGATGTGTATTACTTTCTCTGTAGTTCCTAATGGACTAAATCATGGACTCTGGATATTTGCACTTATGTACTTGATACTGAATGCATAAATAAATGTCACTAAATGTACAAAGTTCTCCCTCCGTGTGCTTTCACAAGAAAATGCAAACGCTCCAAGAAGCTCATGCCGCTCCAGGGAGGTTGACACCAGTGCTCACTCCCCTCTTGTCTCCAGGACCACAGGGTCTCACCCCAACCTGGTGCATGGCTTCTCTAGCCGCCTTGTAGAAATCACTCAGCTCCAATTACATCTTTTTTCTTCTCTTTGCTTTCTTTCTTTTATTTTATTTTTTAAACATTTTATTAGGGGCTCATACAACTGTTATCCCAATCCATACACACATCAATTGTGTAAAGCGTATTTGTACATCATTTCTCAAAACATTTTCTCTCCATTTAAACCCCCGACATTAGGTCCTCATTTTTCCCCTCCCTCCCCGCTCCCCCCTCCCACATGAGCCCTTGATAGTTTATAAATGGGTATTTTGTCATATCTTGCCCTGTCCGACGTCTCCCTTCACCCACTTTTCGGTTGTCTGTCCCCCAGGGAGGAGGTCACACACAGTTCCATGTAATCGGTTCCCTCTTTCCTACCCATTCTCCCTTTACCCTCCCTGTTTTGCCACTCACACCACTGGTCCTATAGGGCTCATCCATCCTGGATTCCCTGTATTTTCAGTTCCTATCTGTACCAGTGTACCTCCTCTGATCTAGCCAGTCTTGCAAGATCGAATTCGAGTCATGGTAGTGGGAGCGGGGAGGAAACCTTTAGGAACTAGAGGAAGGTTGTATTTCTCATCATTGTTACATCGCACCGTGACTGGCTCATCTCCTCCCTGAGACCCCTCTGCAAGGGGATCTCCTGTGGCCTACTAATGGGCTTTGGATCTCCACTCCGCACTGCCCCCATCATTCACTATGGTGAGATTTTTTGTTCTGATGATGCCTTACACCTGATCCCTTTGACACCTCGTGGTTGCATAGGCTGGTGTGCTTCTTCCATGTGGGCTTTGTTGCTTCTGAGCTTGATGGCCGCTTGATTACCTGCTTTCTTTCTTTTTTTTAAATCACCGATTGCATTTTTGTTTCATTGATAGGGCTGAAAGTCAAATATGAATAGAGACATAAATGAAAGTAGCAAAAGTGGAAGATATAAAAGTAATGGGAGAAAAAAATTAATAATGACCAACAAAAAGCTACCTTTGTCCCCTTCTATCCTTGAATCCGATAAGCATCTACAGATCACCCTTCTGCACAAAGTGTTGTGAGGAACACAAGGATTTGTCCAAGAAATTTCCCATCTTGAAAAGCACTGGTAGGCAAGTCTGTGTGTTTTCCAGTTGATTCTAACTCATGGTGGCCCTATAACACAGGTAAGAACTATAGCTATGTGGTAATACTAATAAAATATAAAAACTTATTGCCATCAAGTTGATTGTGACTCACAGCAGTCCTATAGAGTAAAATGGAACTTCCCCTTCGGGTTTCAGAGGATGTAAATTTTTACCGGAGCAGACAGCCTCATCTTTCTCTCACGGAGCACCTGGTAGGTTCAAACTTCTGACCTCATGGTTGGTATCCCAATACACAACCCATTACACCACCAAGATGAAATAAGAGCTGTAAAACAAGACTAGAACAATAAGAGAGGTATTCTCAGGGAGGTGACCTTTGGGCTAGGTCTTGGTTTGGCTTTTGCTAGATAAAGAAAATTTACCTCTGAATGAATAAAGAACATGTGCTGTGGTGCTAAATTATCGCACTGCGTGTCATATGCAGAGAATGGTGAGGAATGAACTGAGTTGGGTTGTAAGTGGCTTGGACTGAGAACAGTGGTGCCAGGTAAGGGAAATGAGTTAAGAATATACAAGGACTGCATTAGGAAGAAGCATGAATACCCAATCCAAGGAATTTAGACTCTATTCTTTAGGTCAGAAGTCACCTAAATGCAGCGAGGGTGCAAGATAATGGATTAGCAGAATAAAAGATATAATCTTACATAGCTCCATAGTAACAAATAATTCTAACAAGGAGAAGTAAACAGCAGTGAGTTTACTAGAGTAGTACAGTGAAACAAGAAAAGAGATGGCTGCCTGTCCGTGATGAATCCAACATGCTAAGCATGGGCAGGGGAATCACTGGGAGAGAGAGTGTGGAATGCGGTTCAACCAGAATTGGTAATTGCCTACACATGGGATCTGAAGACCAGGGCTGACCCTTACAGTGAATTGCTCCTTAAATTTATCTCCCTAGGCATCTTGCTTGCTTCACCAGCCAGCTGATTTGAGAACAGCAACAATATTTTCTAGGATAAAGGGCTCATAACTGGTTTGAGGAAGATAATAAGCTATTTTTGTGATTAGTAGAGGATTTATTTTCCTGTGCATTTTAGACTCAAGCCATTTAAATAAAGTTTGTGGCAGGTTTTTGTTGTTGTCATTGTTGTTTGTTTTGTTTTTCCTTCTCTAAATAAATTTATTGTGTATAATTAATCTCTTTCCGAAACTACTTTTGCATGAGTTTTCTCCCTCAGGTCTGGCTGAATTGTTTTCACCAGCAGCTGCTAATTAAGCGGCTATAACTAGGAATTCCATTTGCTGGCATGCTGGCAAGAGTATAGTTATGAATGTAGGAGTTTAACATCTGGAACATGGGACATGGCATATCTTGCTTCTACAGGAAGATTGACGGGCAAGTGTGAAGGCAGTGGACAGACAGGAAGAGGGCCAAGCCAAGAGCCGTAGGACAACCAGAGTGGGTGAGCAGGGTTATGCTGACAGCTGTGGACGATGGAAACTCCAGTGACCTCTGCTTGAATTAAACTGACACGTGGAAGTAGGATGAAGAAGGGGGTTGTTTTTCTGAATTATTTCAGAAATAAAAGTTTATACCTTCTCTGCTCTTTTCCCATCCCAGACCTGGTGGGACAGTCATTATGTATTTGGCTGCCAGATGGGGGGGAAAGTTACACACTCTTTGTCAGCAGTTCAAAATGAAACCGCCAGCTCCTCTTCAGGAGAAAGATAGGGCTTTCTACTCCCATAAAGAGTGAGAGTCTCAAACCCACAAGGGCAGGTCTCCCCTGCCCTAAGGGGCCGCTATGAGCAGGAACCCATTCAATTCGATGGCAGTGGGTTAGTTTTTTGTTTGGTTGGCTTTTTCCTTGAACCCTCAGGCTAACCCCTAACTGCTGTAAAGAGACCATTCTTCTTCAGATCGCAAGCCTGGCTGGACTGTGTTTCCCACTGCAAGGAGTCACTTCTGAGAGGGAGCGAGACAGCTTCCTACTGTACAGTTCCAGCAGTTTCCACACTGTCTTTGAATTGGACAGCTCTGGAGAGCCTTACTTTAGAAAGCCAGTTGCTAATAAGTCATTTCTAACTCATGGCGCCCTTAGGAGCTCAGCTGCGAACCAAACCACTGAAAGTCAAGTCCACCTAGAGTGGCCTCCATGACTTCATGCTGCGAGGAGACTCTGGGAGGGGGTGGGGGGTGAGGTGTAGTGAAGTCGGTTTGCACCCTTGCATAGAGCCTTTAGAAGGGAACTTCCTCTTAACAGCCTCCTCTAGTACTGGATCTTAGCCCAAGTGGGCTTTCATCATCACACAAACACTCGTAATTTTCACCTGTCCCCAAATCAAATTCAGCCCTCATTTATTTAGGCCCGCATTTTAAAATTTTATTTATTTAAATTTTCTTTAACTTCCCTATTGAACAATAGGGAATGATCTTATTAGTGAACAAAATAATCATATGTGCCTGAAGGTGTACGTATGCTATTTTGTACAATAGCAAAATATTGATAGCCACTTAAAATATTAACTGTTAGGCAGCCAATCAAGTAAACTAATGCAATGAAAGACCATGCAGTCACTGAAATAATTTAGTGGATTAATATTCTGATATGAAAAGCTGTTAATATAACAGTGAAAACAAGGGACAAAGTGCTACAAAGTATATGATGATAGGAACATTAGTAGTTATTATGTAAACATGATAAACCATTAAAAAGGTATAAGTGCATACACAAAATGTTAAACCTGGAGGATATTTTAAAAGATAATTCTTGGTCTTTTTTTAATTTTAAGTTTTCTGTATGGCTTACCTTATGTTTGTAAATTTTTTCTCATTTATTTTATTAAATATTTCCTCAAGCCTAGTATTATCAAACCCAAAATTATGGTAACTAGCGAAAGCTCATCCTAGTAAATATTATCCTTTTATTAGGATTTTTCTAATCCATATTTCTGGTTCACACCCTCGGCACATTTGCCTTTCTCGCTTCTGCCAGTGGGTAAACTAATTGATGATATACAAAGGTGGGTGGTATTTACATGTTTGAGAACAAATCCTCAGTCTTTTGACATTGTTATTTTATATTTAGGCATATATGTTTTATATATATTATTCTTGCTAATTTCCTTTTAACATTTTCTCTTAAGTTTATTTTATTTTTGCAATGACACAAACAATCCTCATGCATTGCAGAAATTCTGGGTGATAAAGGCCACTCAGAACAACCACCATTATCATTTGGGCAGATTTCCTTAGAGTCGCCAGGCATTTAAAAATTGAACTCACGATCCATATGTAATTTTAAATTTAAAATTAAAATAAACATTTATATACACTATGTGATATCATGTTTAAAATAATGAATTATGTTTTGCATTAACTGTACAAGGGAGTTTTTTAATTTCCAGACTTTTGAGTACTGGGAGAACTTTTTAAAATTATACTTTTATTTCCCTAAATTGTCAAGTTAGTTGCCAATACTTAAATTACAGTCTATTAATCACTTTTCATGCAGGTCTCTTATAATCAAAGTTTAAGAAAGTAATATAAATATTAATGTTCGTGCTGCAGAAATATATCGTCTTTCTTTATAATTGATGTTACATCTTAATTTAGCAAATTATTTGAAATATTTTTAAGGTCTGAAACATTCCCCTCACGTTACACATTGAAGTTTAAAATAATAATTTGCTTATGTGCCATTATATTACTTTAATTTTCAAAATAATACTATTATTTCAGCTTTACATATATGAAAAAATGAATTCTTAGGT